CAATCAGAGATACTTTGATGTATATTTTACAGGTAATGAGTTTGGTCATCCCGAATGGCTAGATTTTCCGAGAATCGGAAATGCAGACAGCTACCATTATGCCAGACGTCAGTGGAATTTAGTGGATGACGAATTACTGAAGTATAAATACATGAATAATTGGGATCGCGCTGTGAATATGCTCGAAGAGAAGTATGGATGGTTACATGCCCATCCTGTAAGTAGCTTTATAAGTTTTTGTGTTTTTGATCTGTCATTATCTAAGTGATTTTTTTTTGACAATAAAGGATTAATAAAATTTAAAGAATCAAGAATAATATTTGAATTTATAGGGCTATGTGAGCTGGAAGCACGAAGATGATAAAGTGATCGTCTTTGACCGAAGTGATCTCACATTCGTCTTTAACTTTCATCCAGTCAAGTCGTTCGCCGATTATCCGGTCGGTGTAAAAAATCCAGGAACATACAAGATCGTTTTGTGTAGTGATGATGAACAATTTGGAGGAGAATGTCGCGTAGATACGAATGTGCAACATTTTACGCAACTAGAATCATTTTCTGCATATCAAAACAAAATGATGATCTACATTCCGCGCCGTACAGCAATAGTTTACGCAAAAATTGGTAATGTATCAACGGTACAATAGATTTTATATTAATACTATTCATAGCAATTAATATTAAAATAAAACTGATTACATTTTAGATGATTAACTGCTGTCTCGTGAATGAAGACTTTGAAAATTGTATAATGATAAATCATCTATCTAATAATATTAATAAACGTAGGTATCATATATTTTTGTAAAACAATTCGATAGAATGTCTATATATTTAGGAAATTAAAGAAGAACTATAAAGAAGACTATTGAAGAAGAAAACTAAAGATTATTGCGATATAAATCCTGAAAAAGGATCTTGTGAGTACAACTAGATTTCTCTTAGAAAAGAATTATAGTAAAATGCTGGTGCATTTAACTTGTTTTCGCAGACATTATCGATCTATTCTAAGTCATTGAATTAATATATTTTGGATAAATAGTTTTCTATTGAATTTAATCAATATATTCTGAACAGAAGAGAGATGATTTGTTATGATCTCTCAATTTATTCAATTCTAACAATTGTGCCTGTATATTCACAAATATAATTTACTTACTAGATTTTATATTAAAATCTTTTGTATCCTAGTTGTTAATTTACAAATATATATAATATATACTCGTTTTTCAAAACTTAAAAAATGTATATATTTTTTTACATAAATAATACAATTGCTTCCTATCAAAATTTAACATGTTGCTGAAATAGTATCTGTATTGTTTACAGTTTCTGCAACACAGAATTCAGCCTCGTTTACATCATAATCTTTCATCTTCCTATCTAATACCCACCACTTTCCTAGAAAGCCTACATCCACTATTCTTTCATAGAAAGTTACATATCGTGGTTTTAAGTAAGGACAGACAGCCTTGTATGAGGAACAATTTTTGTCATAATTATCCAACCAAATCAGAGACAAAATTCCTAGATTTAGCCTTCTGATTAATCCTTCATTATAGCACTGTTCCAACCATTTTATGTGCTGTACAGAGACAGGATTGCGTATGGGTTCTCCTACTTGTATTAACTTTATACTGTTTTGTATCAATTGTTCCCTAAACATAGTTTCATCTGGATTGTGTCGATTAGAATAAAAACAGCTTCCTAGAACTGAAATAATATAAATTATTCTCATACAGATATATTATAATTATTACACATTATAAATATCACATCTTGAAAGTGACAATCTGCAGACACTCAAAAAACAATACGCACGTGTAATATATATTGTAGCATGTACAGGACGTTCTGTGCAATCTTTGACTACATCTAATGCGACGTCCTTGTAATCTATATACAAACCATGCCAATATTTCGCTGTAAAATAATAAAAACTATTTGCAAACATTACTTAAATAACTAGAATGTGATAATTCAACCATATATTTTGTAATATTATTTACCCCAGCGTTCGAGAAATGTGCCCTTAATTTTCTCAGGCATTTCATAATTCCTAATTTTAATGCCAATCTCATTAAATTTGGATGTCAGTGGCCTAAAGACTGTTCTGAATCTATGAGAAAGCTGAAATATTTGTTGGGAACTCATGTCAAATCGCAGAGAATCTTGGTAATGTCACGATAAATAATAGCATTATACAATTTTATGAGCCAGCCGCTACGGTATTTAAATCGCGATAGGTTATATCCAATTATGTCATGCTGGGAACATAACATAACCGCAAATTCAACTCGAGATTGTGCGTCATCTAACGGAATTTAGTTGCAACTACGTAACGTAATATCAAATTGATTGGTTACTTGCTAGAAAATTTCTGAAGCACTTCATATGGTAACCGTGGCCATCATAGAGAGTAACTTGTTAAGGTAAATTTTCACAAGCTGCTCCACCTATATTTCTAACACCGTGATTAGCTGTCATCCGCCACTGTCATCAGCTTATAAAAGTGTCTTTTCATACCGATGCTTGATGCTCATTTTTGGCATCAAAATAATCACGATAGAAATTGGCGAATATCAAGCGTCAATTTTGATCTGTGATTTATTTTGACATTGAAAATGAATCGAGCATTAGCATGAAAAAGCACCTTAATAGATCTGTTCGCGTTGTTTGCACTTTTTGCACTCAGTGTCTTTGCTTTCTTTTAAACATCCAATTATATTTTTTCGTTTTTAATATAAACATTTTTAGAAATTTCAAATAACGCAAATAAATCTATTATCACATCGTTCTTCACAGCTGCCAGAAAATTAGGTTATTTTTTTCAATTTTGCAGTTGGCAATATTGAAATTTAACATCGGAGTAGTGAAACCGGTTCAACATATGTATCTGTTCTTTCTGGCAGTTGGATTATATACTTCTCTCGTACTTAAACTGAAATAGATATATATTTGCAGTTTGGCGAAAATGTGATAGAAGTGTAATTCAGTGCAGTACACAGAAAGAACAAGCCTTTAGCCATCAACAGTCATGGCCGAAATCTTTAAAAACGGCACGTTTCGGAAAGACGAATGTCTAATTGCTTTTATGGTGCGTCTGTGACGGTAAAAGAAAAAAGAAAGTTTTATTCACATTCCTGTATATTTCGCATATTTTTAGGAAGTGATAACCGCGGTCTTAGGATGCTACGTAAGATTTTTTTGTGGACTTTCAACCTTAAGATGGTTCTTTAGTAAAAATTGAATTACCATAGAAATGTCCTTTTTTTTTATATAATGAAGTTGTAGTATTGAAATTGCTGTGCAAAATTCTACAGCAAATTAATGATGAAATAAAAGAAAAAAAAGTTGAAATTGTATCCTTTCATATAACTTAGTGACAGATAAGACTTGCAGACGCTTCTTTGATTAATTGTACATAAATGTTATCATAGACTTTTCTAAAAAATGAGATTATAATAGTTTAAAAAATTATGATTTTAATGGTCACAAAAAAGTAATGAGTCAACGGCTAATCTGGAAAGATATTTATATGCCTAAACTTGCATTTAAATTTAACCTCAACAAATAAACATAATCTCATCTTGTTTTTATAAAGATGTAATTAATAGGCCTCTTGATTTACTTTTATATGTTCCATACTATTTCATTAAGATATACACATAGTTTTAATGTGTTATCTAAATTATACAGATATTTGTAATTTTGGATACATCTGATGAAGCATCTCAAATTTTTGGCACTTACTAAAGAACTATCTTAAAGGAGAAAAAGCAGCTTAGCAATTGTTGTAAAATAAATTGAATCTATATTAGAAATGTATAAATCATATTCAAGAATTTTACAACAATTGCAAAACTGTTTTTTTTTTTGCTGAACGTAGTCCTTGTCTCTGTGTCTGTTATTTATAATTTGCTAATTTGTTATTTGTATTTACTTTTTGTTAATCATAATTAATAAAATGTTAATCATAATTAATAAAATACAAATGCATGTAGCTTTGATTTTCTGGTGTATTAAGATATAACCATGTGGAATTGAATATAATCTGTATAATATGTCTGATATCCAAAGCATAATTTAATTTTAATTTGTTTTGTCATTTTGTGTAAGTACATGGTATATTATTTTATAATTTATTTTTTTTTGTTATATCAACAAGCAAACTAATAAAATAAGTAAAAAGTATAGACAAAGAAAATTATCTTCTTGTGCTTTATATTATAATTTATTGGATATTGTGTACATCAGCAGTGTTAAATATATAACTGTATAGTAAATATATTTATTATATTTAAAACATCTTTTTCCAGATAGTAGGATCAGCTGAATTATGTCAGAAGATATCAGAGGGCTTATATTTAAGTGCAAAAGAAAGGAAATGGCAGATATCTATCCATCAGTGTGAATCTATTACAGATGTGAAAACGAGAATAGATATCTCTGTAGATTTTATTATTTTTCCTTTTGACTTAAGAGCTTCACACACCTTATTAGAAGTAAGTCGCTCGCAAATAATTTTTAATGTAATCTTTTTATCATATTAAACTCATTATCTTTAGTTATTTATTAATTATTATTAATTAATAAAATAATAATTAATAATTATTGATCTCTATTATTATTAATAATGTTTTAGATAGAAGCTAACATAGCCAGAATAGATGAATATTATGTACTGTCTGGTGCAGTTTGCATAATAAATTGTAATGGAATATCCAATGTTATGGGATTGATTCATAAGTCAAAGAAACTTTGTCACGATTATAATATTCGTTTTCTCTCTGCTAATATTTCTGTAAGTTATATTCAAAGCTATCTATCTACACACACACACACACACACACACACACACACACACACACACACACACGTACAAATTTTACAAATTATAATTCATATAGTTCAAAATATACTTTTTATTTTAGAATATGCAAGCTTGTGTCTCTTTAGGAAGCAGAATTCTAAATATAACAGAAGGAATATTAGGATTAAACAGTGGTGTACCAGTTATTGGAACTGTTGGACAATAGAACAAGATTACAGAAATAGTAAGGTGTTATATAAGGTGATTTGCTAGTAATTCACATATATTTTTTTTCAAAAATTATATATTAAAATATCATTGTTAATAATATTGTTTAAATTATTAAGATCAATATCAAGATGAAAAAATCAAGTGGTAAGACATACGCTTCCAGCCAAGAGGACAGCGAAAATGATAGTGATGTGACAGAATGCAGCATTGGAAGTAATTCCACCGCCGGTACTCATCGCAGCGACACGCCCACTCGTAGCGCCCGTTATAAACGAAAAGGTCGTCGCAGGAGTAAGACAGCAAAGTACAAACCTTGTACAGACAAACCAATGTACAAATTTTGCTGTAGTGTCAAGGAAGATCACGGGCAGCCCTTATTTGGCGTACAATTCAATTATCATTTGAAAGAAGGCGAACCGTTGATATTTGCCTCTGTGGGTAGCAATCGCGTAAGCATTTACGAGTGTCAGCAGGGCGGAAATATACAGCTACAACAATGTTACGCCGATCCAGACACAGAGGAGAATTTTTACACATGCGCGTGGACATACGACGACTCTGGGAAACCTTTGCTAGCTGTAGCAGGATCCCGTGGAGTTATCCGAGTTATAAGTCCTGCGACAATGACTTGTATCAAGCATTACATCGGTCATGGGCATGCAATAAATGAGTTAAAGATTCATCCGAGAGATCCGAACATTCTATTATCAGCATCGAAAGATCACGCTCTGAGACTATGGAACATCAAAACGGATGTGTGTATCGCGATTTTCGGTGGCGTGGAAGGCCACAGAGATGAAGTCCTGAGCGCTGATTTCGACATAAAAGGTCAAAGAATCATATCATGCGGAATGGATCATGCTCTTAAGTTGTGGTCTTTGGAGAAACCAGACATGCAAGACGCGATAAAACAGTCCTATCATTGCAATCCCACTCGCAATGGCAGGCCCTTTGATTCAATACTGCAACATTTTCCAGATTTTACCACTCGTGACGTTCATCGAAATTATGTGGACTGCGTGAAGTGGTTCGGCGACTTTATCCTGAGCAAATCCTGTGAAAACTGTATTGTATGCTGGAAGCCAGGTAGACTTGAGGACTCGCAATTGCGCAATGGAGAAACGAGTGCGACGGTTTTACACCGTTTCGAGTTTAAGGAGTGTGACATTTGGTTTATACGCTTCTCAATGGATTTTTGGCAGCGTACGATCGCGTTAGGGAATCAGGTCGGTCGCACTTATGTTTGGGATTTGGATGTAGATGAACCTGGGCAAGCACGCTGCTGGTCTCTTCAGCATCCCCGTTGCACCGTACCGATTCGCCAAACTAGCCTAAGTCGAGATGGCTCCGTGTTATTATGCGTTTGCGACGACGCGACAATCTGGAGATGGAATCGCGATCATTAACTCTATTCAAATTCATTTTATCACAATTAAAAAGACGTGCCTTTTCATGTATAAGCTGTATTAAATATTTGTGCTTTTTATAGCAATTATCATTGATGAATCTAGGTTAAACTATTTATCATTGATGAATCTAGGTTAAATTATATCAGTCTATTAGATTAATTTGAAATCAAGTGCGAATTCACTATATGCACACTATATATATATGTGTACAATAAAAAAAATTCGCATTTCTAATGAATTACCAAATGCATAATACATTTTTAATTCATAGACTGCTATCCGACATAGCTAGTTTTATAGTTTATAAAAGAAAATGATTAAACTGTAATAAACTTAAAAAGTATTTTAGAATTATAAATGAATGAGATTATAGAAAATAGAAAATCGTTCTTTGCAAATATAGAAAATTGTTTTTTAAATATCTTTGCAATGTATTACAAATAATATTTATACAAACAGATTAAATCTTTTTTATGATTTCCACAGATTTTAAAACCTGTCCTGAAGTGACGAACTGCTTTTAATGTAATTTTTGCGCGCTAAATGTAATTAAGTTTAGATCTAAATATGCTAATCAGATGCAAGAGCTAATCACTAAGCGCTCAGTGAGAGATTGTAGTACTACTGAATGTACCCAATGTAGTCGCCAAGCGATTGAATATGATTGATTCTCATTTGTAGAACCAATCAATTACGTTTAATCCGGGAGCGTCATTTTGCCGTACTCTTTCGTTTTCTATTTATATCTTTCAATTTATTGGCACTATTATATAAATGTTTACCTTTATGTAAATGTTTGTTAATGTTTTTTCGTATAATTTGCGAAAATAGATGACGTAAACATATCTTACGACGTAAGCTAGATGACGTAAATTTATATCTACATAAAATTTGATATGTTTGTAACGATCGATCTAAAAGACCGTAACTCGCGCGCTTACTTTAGTGTTTGTCGTTTTCGCCAGTCTCATTATTATATTTTTATAAATAAAAAATAAAATTATAACTTTCTCACATTATTTCATTAGATATCAATAATTTTAACAAATAAAAAATTAAAATAAAGATATTGTATAAATACAATTATTTTCAATAATTATTACTGAAAATTGTTCCTTTGTTTTTAATTAAGATTAATATAAAGCATTATCGAACGTTTTTTTATTAATTATTATTTATAGTAATTATAATCATATATGTATTCTAGTTATAATACATATATGCGAAAATACATTTCGATCAGGACCGCGCCTACTTCCGAGTTAATGACATGTTTCTGCATATGAATCCCATTTGGAAATCGAGATAGACAACAAAAAGTTGTTCAACAAAGGAAACAAAATGGTTAGCAATAATTATATGATAGACGAATGAATAGAATAAAAAAAAATTATTCATTTTTGTGTGTCACATTGTATTAAGTGTGGGAAAAAGTTCGTGGCGTTTTTCCCATTAGATGGCATTAAAAAAACGCCACGAATTTTTTCCCTAATATATTATTCTTTCTTTGAAAGAATAATGTATGCTTCTCGTGTTTTTTTTTTCAACAATAATGAGAGCTCGATATAACTCGATTTTCAACAATCGATTCATTTTTCAGAAAACGATCACATACATAGCGAGATTGAGGTAAGGTTAAGTCGTACATATATATCTGTCAGCACTTTGAAATATCGTTTTTGTATTTTTGTATAATAATAACATTAATAAATATTGTCTGTAATATTATTAGGACTGAATTGCAAGTATTATATTTATTATTTCGATTATTTCGATGTAAAAGTGATTTTTAATAAAATCATTTAAGGTTAAACAGTTGGTATTACCGGAATTACACGTTGCGAACTGTTATTCGTTTGTACAAAGATTACGATATAAATATTTTACACATCATCAACGCGAGACTAGAAGATGTACATTACACGTGTTGCGTGCTGCGATACTAAAAATTTTAGATATATTATTGTGGAAAAAATATAACTAAACAATTATTGTAACCTGTTCAATTTTCAATGCACAAGGTAAGATATTCTATTTGAAATTCTTTATGTAAGAAAAGTTGCAAAGTATAAGCATGTTTACTTTTTGTGAAGGATTTCATACAATTGGAAATTTACATTTACAGATGAGAACTTTACTATTTTTGGGTCTATTTTTTATAATTGTTGCAGTGGAACCTAAAGAAGTTGATTTAAAGCATTTGAAATGTTTAGGTGAAAATCAATGTTAATTTCTATGATATTTTAATATATCTATGATAATTCTATTTTAATAATAATCATAAATTATAATAATTATTATACCTATTATAAATTTTATATACTATACTATTATAAATTACTATACCTTATAGTTTGTAGGGCAGCTATGAATGAATTGGAAAACGAGGTTCTAAAAGCCAATCCAAATAAATTAGTTGATGTAGGCAATTTTAGAATGGATGCTGATGGGAATACTATACATAAAAAGGTAAAAAGATGAAAATAAATATCAAGAAAAAATAGATCATTAGTATTAAATTAAGAATATTTTTGCTGCTTTTATGCACTTATAAATCCATTCCCTAGTTTCAATTTACCTACACAACAGAGTTCTCTTTTGGATATCTTTTGGAGAATTGTGTTGTATAGATTTTTAATATAAAATTCGATATTTATTATTTTAAGGTGCCGTTAGGTCGATCTGAAACACATATTTCGATTTTGCTGGACAATATTTGTGAAAAACTGTCGGATTACGTTAGAGCAACAAGAAAGTCTGATAATCAATTAATGATCTTTAATCTTATGTCTCCATCAGGTGGTATGAATCCTATTATGAGCGAAGTAGATATAATTCAAGATGGTGATTTAAATAAGAGCCTCGAGCATTATGTGAGTGCTATTTATTACGTTTTATATTTGCTGAAAGTGCTTTGTCATTAATTTGAGTTAATCGTTTTCAGTGCAGCACTGTAGTGGAAGAATTTGAAGAAGATATAGTGTCATTGTATGTTGATGGCATATCCAATAAAAAAAAAGAACTTTGCACAAAGATCTCAAATATTTGCAATGAAAATTATGCCGATGAGGAAGACGATGATTATAGTGATAATGAAGTAGATAATGATAATTATGATTCAAGTTTTGACATAGATAGAGACGAATTATAAATTGGAATAATTTTTACAGAAATATTATTTATATGCATAAGTAAAAAGAAGCAGAAATAGTTAAAATAAATATTGTATAAATATAAATATCTAGTGATTTTTATTTTGTAAAAAAATTTTATAAATAATTTTTTTTTTTTTTTTTTTCAAATCTTTCGCATGCATTATACAATTATTAGTTATTCAATATTTTATACTTATCTCAAATGTTAATTAAATGCTATTTGCTATGTGAAATATGCAGCAGTGTAAAAGCGTTGCAAAGATTAGTAGATTTTTTACATTTTAAAAAATATTTATAATAACTGTAAATATGTTATATAGTAATTTGAGTCAAAATTATGAGTAAAATAGAAGAATTAAATGTTTTTGAAATATCGATAATTTTATCATTATCGTCCATGATCTAATCTTCTAATCAAATTTTTCCTACCTCTCACTTTCACCGCAATCGCTGTGTTCAGCAAAGAAAAATAAATTTGCAAGATGTTATAAAATTCTTTAATTATGATTGGTTATATATTTAGATCCAGCAAGGAACTACCGGCAAGAATCAATAATATTAAAGAATATTTTTTGAACGCAGTCAATGTTTTCGTGTTTTAGCGCGTGAATTTTTCAAAGCCACGCGGGTTTCTATAAGACCGACAAATGCAAATTTCGAAGATAGACCTGACAGACAACGTTAACAACGGTCTCCTCTTTTCCAAGAGAGAAGCTCATCAATCGTCAAGATTCAAGTATCTCGAGTCTCTCACTCTCGCTTGACTTCTCATCCAAAGGGGACGCGATTTAGAAGCGATCTGGTGAGAGTGAGAACCAGTGAGAACTTTCGTAAGTCCGAGGTCAGCTCGTCAGCTGTCTTGACGTATTTCGACTTTCGACGCGTGTGCGTGCATTCGTGCATGTTGTGTATGAACGTACGCATGGACAAGTGACATGACAGTCGATTCGTTCCAGGAACATTGAAAGCGTTCGTGCGTGAGCCGTGGTGAACCGAGAGGAAGACTCATCCGTCCGTCCGTCCGAACATATGATTGTAGCTCTGCCGAGGGCGCACGTCGTGGAACGTGAACGTCGTCGGTTTCCGGGAAGCGTGATCGTTAGTCTTCCATATCCCACCGCGGCCGATCTTAGTCCACGATCCGATCGCGCGTTCGACTCACGGTCCTCGCGGAAATGACAAAGCGCGCCTCGCTCGCGCGTCAGCAGTGAGGAAGAGAATTCGTTCGCGGACAAATAAATCCCGGACGAAGAAGTCCCGAGCGAAAAGAAGCGGAGCGCGGCTGCAAACATGAGTTCCGTCTGGAAACGCTTGCAACGGGTGAACAAGAGAGCAGCCAAGTTTCAGTTCACTGTTTCTTACCACGAGGTCACGTTAGAAACGACGACAAAGTGGTGAGTGACGCCGATTCATTCCTGGCCGAGCGAGAACTTCCTTTCGCCGCGGTTTTCTCAAGTGAAATGAAATCTGTTGTTCGAACAGGAACTAACATCAATATCTTTTCGTTTATATGAAAATCTCATAACTGTCGTCTGCTCTTGAAAAACAGGAACAGTTGTTGTATTTTACAAGAAAGTGATGGACATTTTTGTCTCTTGGAATAAATATTTTGGAAAAAAAATTAAGCGATATATATGCAAATGTAAATTACTGTCTTGCGTTTAGATTTGCGTTAGATTTTTATACGCATTGTGTTGTGTTATAGAAAATATGTTTATGTTTATGACACAATTTAGATTTATGATATCTTTTAATTATATATGTACATTTTGAAAAAATATATGTGTGAAATAACTATTAATTTAATAAGACATAATTTTTTAAAACAATTTTGTAGAAATATTATATTAGCATATATGTATTCTAGCAGAGAATAAATATACAAAGATAATAACATTTTCTAGGAAGCCAAACAAATTGAGCGTTGTTTGGACAAGACGTAGTAGAAGAGTCAGTTCAGAACCCTTAGACTGGGAGCCATGTTTAAGTGATCCTTTGAAGGGTGTCATTAGCTGGGCAGTCCCTGACAATCATACAGTTTCCGTAACACTGTTTAAAGATCCACGGACACATGAACTGGAAGATAAAGATTGGACATTTGTTATCGAAGATGTGAGTACAGCATACTGATACATTCGCAGAAGGACGTAGCACAATGGTATATTGTTCTACTCTCGAACAGGTGTCGTCGACAGGAAAGAGACGTCATGTGGCTGCCACTAATATAAATATGAAAAAATATGCAACTTTAGAATCTAGTCAGCAACAACTTAAATTGGACTTGAAGCCAACTTCTAAAAAGATTGTTAGCGCTACACTAGAATGTACTTTGTCATGTGTATTTTTACGAGAGGGCAAGGCAACGTAAGTGTGTAGTTTAATTTCATTGACATACTGCTAATTAATTTCATAAGCTAGGTAATAATACTTGTCCTTTATGTAGCTATATTTAAATATATTTTAAATAGGATAAACATTAAGTAATGCACTTTAGAGGCAGATTCAACAGATGCTGAATCTGTCAATAGATTATTTTAATCTGAAAATGTCATTGAAGTATCAGTTTATTATATTTGAATTTGTTGATAAATACTTATTGAATAATTATTTTTCTAGGGATGAAGATATGCAAAGTATGGCTAGTTTAATGTCGGTTAATAATAACAGCGACATTGCGCCATTAGATGATTTTGATAATGAAGATATACCTGAAGATGTTGAGGAAGTGTCGGTAAAAAATTTGGACGAGTTTTTAGATATTTCCGCTCAACTTGATCTAATGACGAGCAGTCTTACTGAAAGTGAATTACCCAGCACTCCTATAAGTGGTGAGTGTTGATCCTTGCTTTTTATTGAAACTGTGTCCACAAGTATATACATTGAATATAAAATATGTAATTGCTATCTTAACTCTCTAACTTGTTGCTTTATTAATTTTATTATAATTTATGGAATCAAATTTACTAATAGAATATATAATGTGTATACAATAGTGGCAAGTTTATCAAAGGATGATACAACTCCTGTAAATGATGGCGAGCATTTTATACGCGACATTAGTCTAACAGGAATTGGAGACTCTCTAAAGGAAAAATCACCCGTAAAAGACAATGTTGCCATTGAAAATGAGTATGTACAATTACAGTATTATATTTTACAAAATAGCGTACGTGTGTGAAATATGATATTAGAATTGGTACAATATATAATTGGTACAATAACTTTAAATATTGTTTTCACAAATAGTTTATTATGCAAAAAGGCACTTATTTTTTTTTATAAGAAACAAGAATGATTACTTTGTTATTATTCTATACAATGTAATAAATAATGTAATTGCAAATTCAATATCTTTGTAGCAAAAACATTGAACACAGCATATTGAGATTGCCGCTGCAACCATTGGATCTTAAAAAGAATGACGCAAACGTTCCAAGACTGAAAGAAATTACTCCCGGCCAAGATTTATTAGAATGGTGCAAAGAAGTTACAAAGGATTATTCTGGTGTTAAAGTCACTAATCTAACGACATCTTGGAGAAACGGAATGGCGTTTTGTGCAATTATTCATCATTTCAGACCTGATCTGTTGTAAGTACTCTTACAAGGTTGATCGAATGTCGTAATTATACTAAAGTGTTTCATTCTTCGCGCTACTTTTTCTGGGAATAAAATGTCAATAGACATTCTTGGCGATATGCCAGTTATTTTATTCGCGTATTCCATTAATAAACACTTTGAAATCGCCATTGTCTTACGTCGAACCAACTCGTGCCAACACTTTGACGATTATTTTTGATACTGGAAAGGTCGACGCATTTGTGTATTTATAGTCGCACATGCAACAGACGTTTGATTGCGAGTTTCTTGATCAAATTGAATAATATACGAAATAAAAACTTATAGAGACATCGATTCCCTATTGCCGCACGATGTAAAAGGCAACTGTAAGAAAGCGTTCGATGCAGGTGAAACTCTGGGCATACCCAGAGTTATTGAACCGGCTGACATGGATATATTAACGGTACCTGATAAATTAGCTGTGATGACTTATTTATATCAATTGAGAGCACATTTTACCGGCCACGAATTAGAGGTAATTTAACGAAAATTTTTTTATGTAATGACTTTATCCAATTATTGTGGTCATTTTTTTCCTTTTTGCGTATATAATATAGATAGCATATAATTAATAATATATTACTGTTTTACCAAAATTTAGGTACATCAAATAGGTAAAACAACGGACGAGTCCTCTTACATGATCGGCAGATTTAATACGGACAACAATACTGACGTGAGTGTTCAACTGTTTGGTCAAGAGATTATTAATTTACGGAAGAAGGAACAGATCGAGCAAAAAAACAATAAAGCGGAGAATAACAGACGGTAAATATATGACATTTTATAATCTATCAAATTCAATCAAACCAAAGTATATTTCTACAACAATTCAAGCCAAAGTATATTTCTACAACAATTTATCAAAAACAAAATTAGAAATTGTGATTCACTCTCATAGGTCGAATCCGTTTGATAACAAGAAGGATGACATATGCATCGATTCGTTAAAAAACAAGCTGCATTTGAGTCTGAACACGGACAATCAGGATCACGATCAATGCAACAAAGATAAATCGCCATCCAGCGTAAAGGAGGTCAAGGACATTATATTAGCCAGCTCAAAGAGCATTCTAGGCAAGGTGTTATCGCCGACCAAAGAAAAATACTCGTCGAGAGAGAAGGTACGTAGAAACTACACGGACTGAGTTCGAGTCAATTTCGATCGTTGCGATTATTCCCGAGAATTGTCTAGACAAACGTCGCGTATAATATCCGACGGAATTTGCGCGCAAATTTTTTTTCGTTGTGAGGAAATGAAATACCAATTTACCGCAGAGCAAGTCTCCCCCGAGAGTGCAACAAGCGCAGCAACGTCCGATACTTATGACACGCCGACAATTAACCGATCCGTTCGGCTCCGATGACGAAGAGGAGAACATACAGATAATCGACGACAAATGGTCGCAATCGATCTCACTTACCAAATCGCAAAGTCCGGTCCGTGATGTCAGTATATACGAGATTGCGCAGACTGTCGCTTTTTATGCATTTCTTCTGTTATATCTTCTCGCTGCATTAACAATAAATCCATAACGCGCACTGTTACATTCTCCTTCTGTTGTTTCTTTCCATCGGCGAATTATATCAAAATGCATTGTCTCAAGGTCTGTTCTTTTACTTTTTATTTATCATAAGCGAACAGATTGCGCTTTGTGACGGAATTACGCCTATATAATACACACATATAACTGCATGTAAATATGCATGAGAATTCGTGCATAATAATTCCGCAACGCACGTAGACTTATACGGCTGTTCCATAAGCTTTGGCTTTAAAATTTCTTTAGCGTATATTTAATTTAATTTTTTAATAAATTTTAATGTGTTCATAACTTTTTAAATTATCAATATGTTTGAAAATTCTGTAAAAAGAAGTATCTCTAAGAGATAGGAATCTCACAAAACCTTGCTCTTCTAACAGAGTGTCAAATAATAATATCAGGAAAAGTCATAACTTGTTTTAGTAATATTTAGTTTTTTTTTGCGGATTTCACTTTTTTCTTAATATAACGCGTTTTTAGGAATAATATAAAAATTATTATATGGTAATAATATTTAATTACAAACTTGTAAATTTGACAATTTTATGTGACATAATTATATTGTTGGTTTAACAATCTGCATTTATTTATTTTTTACCATGACATTTTTTTACCCTGAAAATATTGATCTCAATCGTATGTTTATAAAGAAGCTTTGCAACAATATTATGACGTAACAAGGCTATGTAAACGTATAGGACGATTTTTTGTAGGACTCGGTAAACTCTGACGATAGAGGAAGTCGAGGTAGTTCCGAATGTCAAGGTGCATCGCCGCCATATGGAGAACAACGATCACATGTAATTAACAATATATCTGCTATTAATATTATGTCGCTTTTAATGTTATATCATATCAATGTACCCCAGTAGCAACGAAACTAAAGTCATTCAAAATAAACAAAAATTTTATTACGAATACTCAATTGTTGCACAATGGTTCATATTTCTTATCTCTTTTGTATTAGCCGTTAGTTAGTCGGCACGATGAATTGCGAGAGCGAGCGAGACAACTCTTGGAACAAGCCAGGAATCAAACGAAGTCATCCGGATTTGTTTCTGCTGCTATCAGTCCTGTTGAGGTTCTACAGTTTTATTCACATTAAAGAATTAATCGAGTATTTCTCAAGGAATGAGCGTCTATGTGTATGTAATATATTTTGTAATATATTGTAGACACAGAATGATGACGAGAGGCAACAGAACTTGCGAGAAAGGGCGAGACGCTTGATTGCGGAAGTTAAAATGGGCGTTGCTGTGACTCCAAATCAATTGAATGATGATAACAATAGTGACAGACGATCGATAGACGACCAGAATAATAGTCCTAGACGCAGCATTACGCCATCGACACCCAGTGATCGAATCAGTATAAAGGTACTGCGATATAATTTACTTTTTTACACAATTATGTAATAAAACGATAAATTATTAGAAGTGGGAAAAAGTTCGTGGCGTTTTTTTAATGCCATCTAACGGGAAAAACGCCACGAACTTTTTCCCTAATCTCTCATACCTAATATAACTAATTTTTTAGTCTGAGTACAATGGAAATATACTGGGAAATTCAAGTATGATAGATGGAGAAAAGAAAACTGGCTCTCCTTTGTATTCTTTCTCCAAAATTATTGAAAGAATCTCGCCCGATAAAGGAAGTCCCGATAGAACTCCGTATACACTTCGCGGGGTATGTTAACTTGCATTATTAATTTAATTTTGGTTGGACATTAATTTTATTATATTTGCATTGCAATTTTACTAGGAAATGAATATTATTATTATATATACTTTAATTTTAATATAAGGAAAGAAATTGTGAAACAAAAGTATTTTACAATGACGATTTATTTTTAATTCGATGTTCTAGTTGGGTAAAGACATGACATCGTATATTCAAAATGAGCTTGAAGCACTTGAAAGAGAGCAAAATCAGATTGACATTCAAGCTGGCAAACTTGAAAAGCAATTGAGAGCAGCCATGGAAAGCGATAACGAAGATGAAACGGAAAGACTGATGTCTCTATGGTTTACTCTTGTTAACAAAAAAAATGCTCTCTTAAGAAGACAAATGCAACTAAACATACTGTAAGCGATTCATTGATTCAGGCATGTTATTATGTATTTTTAATTTTTATTAAAAATGGAATAGGATGATATTATAATAATCTTAATTTAATGAGAATGGAATTTTTTATCTTTAGGGAGAAAGAAGATGATTTAGAGCGAAGATTTGAGCTCTTGAATCACGAATTAAGAAGCATCCTTGCAGTGGAAGATTGGCAAAAGACACCAGAGCAAAAAATGCGTGAAAATTTATTGTTGGAGGAATTAGTATCTATTGTAAACAAAAGGGATGAATTGGTGCATCATCTCGATACACAAGAGAGAGCGTAAGTGTATAATAAATAGATATGACTTGCGCGCTATTATTTGTCTAAAATTATTAAATTTTTCTTTCCCGAATAATTTTTAGTATTGAAGATGATGACGAAATAGAGCGTGATTTATCTCGCGCTGGACTAGCTCAACGAAATAAAAATTGCGTTGTGCAATGAAAAGTTAATTATTTATCGTGTTTTTCCCAGAACTATTATGAAGGTAAATTGTTTATATTACATAACATATTTTGAAAAATGGAAAAATGAATAATTAATACAATCCAATTTATTATTTTTTTTATTATTTCCAATTTATTATTTTAAGATTTCCATTCACATTTTATTTATTTTTTCATTAATTCTAATTTATTTTGTTAAATAAATTTTAAATTAAATTTTTTTATCTCTGTTTTATTAAATTTACTATTTTTATTAATAAACTTTCTGAAAAATAGATTAACAGATAATTGTTAATAAAGGACAATTTATATTAAACTTTTTTTTATTTATATATCGCGTCTTCTATTTTTCAAAAAATTTTTTATAAGAAATAATATACAAAAATACGATTTTTTTTACATTTCAGGCATGACCCATGTTGTTGTGAAGTTGTCAAAAAGCCGACAAAATTAGATGTTGAAGAGTCAAGTGTGAACTTTCATGCTTTACAAACAGGTTATTTTTAGAGACTTATTTTTTATTATGCATTATAGATTACTTCATCAAAAGATAGATCAAACAAATTTTTCTATTTCTTTTGTTTTTAATATAAGTTCGTCGATTCACGACGAAAGAAAAAACGCAATTAAACTTAGACACTCAAATTATTAGATATAAATGGTTTTTTGTATATTATCGAGCATAATATCGATTATATAATGTAATGAAGCATTTTATGCTTCAAGTGAAATGTTGCGCGTTAATAGTTGCGACTGTGTGCAAGTATATGACATGATACGTAACTATGGAATACGGAATCATGCAAAACAGTTTACGAATCAGTAAGTAGATGAAAAGAGGTATACTTTTTCTTCCTCGAATAAAATAAAAATGAACGCAAATGCAAAGAAGTTCGAAAAGAATTAGATAAAAATATATTTTAGCAAGATTCAAGATCTAATTACGGGAGCTACTTAGTGTTATATATTTTAAAAGATTTTGTTTATACATATATAAATTAGCTGATTCAAGAAAGTATAAATTGAATGCAGTTCTTTTATGCGAATGAATTTTAGACATTTGATTTATGTGAAAAATTATTTTGAGACTTAATTGCTAAGAGATTTAATATCGGAAAGCCAAAGAAAATTAAAGCAGGTTGTTACGCAAGAACATGCGAGAGATATGAAGAGTAATTTAGTAAATGTATTTCGTAATTATCGATCCAAATCGATTCACGGAAAATTAATTATGAAACTATTGCGGAAAGTGGAACGCGTGGCTATAGTTTTCGTATTTGCATCAGTTGTTCTCATCGAGCATTCGCATGTACTCTATTTGTGCCATACGAACGAATTGATATACTTTTTACATCCTATTTGACGAATTTGTACAAATGCGTTAAAAACAAATTCGCTAATCTTATTGACGGTATGAGATTTTAAAAAGAAACCGTAATAAGATTAATTTTTACTAAGACTAATTCTTATATGTGGTATCATATATCTGCGTGTAATAAGAATATTATGTTGGCTATAACTTTTTATAACAAAATGGTGCATTATATTTAAATGTTTTGACTAACAATAGTAAAGAAAAAAAAATAAATTCTTGATAAATTCGCTCAAAAAATTTTCGGCTTAACGGATCTCGAGGGCAAGAAATTATAACGAATGTTACATTCGTTGTTCCGTTTGGAACGTTTTAAATGACAGAATAAATAATTAGCATCTTTTATAATTGCTACAAATATAAAATTATTGACGCATATTGTGATAAAAAGTACATTTTTGAGCACAATTGCTCCGTAAAACAGAATAGTAAAAAGTAGGATTTACCTGCTAAGAGCAATATATAAGATATAGATGTATACATTTACTTCCCATAATACAAATTTCATTATTTCTTAACTCTTTGTTCCATTGTGATTTTATCGGGTGAAATTACAAATTTAACATTTAGATAATGAAAAATGCTCTAATTTTATATATAAAGTACTCTAATTTTATATTAAAAATATCGTTTCGCTTTATTAAATATTTGTAGCATAGCAAAAATTTTCAAAATTCATAATTTTTGATGAAATTCATATGATGAAATAAAGAATTAAAAATAGAACATGTAGAAATTAGTTGTTTTACGTATGTTATATTTGACAATCACAATGAATGTCCAATTTTTTTAATACCGAACAAAGAATTAGAAATTACGAATGCGTTTCAACGCTATTATAACTATAATTTAATGCAATATAATCTTCAAAAATTGAACATATGTTGTCTCTATGTTAAATAATCTTCGTTTAAATAAATTGTAAATTTTGCATTAATATATACTAACATAAATTATTTATAATTATTATTGAAATTGTATTACATTGTATGCATCGAAGACTGTATTATAATTTACAATGTATGCATCGAAGACTGCGCGAATTCTTGAAACATTGGAACATTAATACAGTTGAGGATAAAATAATAATTAATTCGGATATATATGTGTGTATGTTTACACACACACACACACACACACACACACACACACACACACACACACACACACACACACA